TATATTACAGTTATATAAGTATATATAAGTGCATAAGTATAATTATATATAAGTATATTGCATCTAGTATATATAAAACTAAAGTATATCATATAAGTAAACTGTATAACCGTACTTAAATAAGCATTATATAAGTATGTAACAAATACATATATAACTATATAATATGTATTTATAAATAAGTAATATATATTTATTATATATATAATGTAGTTATAAGTATACTTATATGTGTATATTATAAAATTACAGTTATATACGTATATTATATAAGTGCATAAGTATAATAATATATAAGTATATTGCATCTAGTATATATAAAAGTATATCATATAAGTAAATTGTATAACTGTACTTAAATAAGCATAATGTGAGTATGTAACAAATACATATATAAGTATATAATACATATTTATAAATAAGTAATATATACTTAAGTGATTCTCTCTCTCTCAAGTTATAACTTATAAGTATATACAATATATTTACATATAATATATGTATATATAATATATAGTTATATAATAATTTGTAAGTATATACTAATACATACTTATATAAATATAATAAGATTAATCTAATTTTTAGCAATTTTTTACCAAAAAAGAAAAAAAATGAAAATGACCGAGCCGACCCGATCATTTTCATATGTAGAGATTTTTAGTTAATTGTTAAATTATGGTTTTTCATATGATTAACTGATTATTAATTTCATATGTAGAGATTTTTAGTTAATTGTTAAATTATGGTTTTTCATATGATTAACTGATTATTAATAAAGAAGTTATTTTTATCATTTTAATTTTTGTTAAATTATGGTTTTTCATATGATTAACTGATTATTAATAAAGAAGTTATTTTTATCATTTTAATTTTTATGGTTTTTTGTATTTGCAAATTATATAATTACAAGTGATTAATAATATGATTGTTTTTTGTCAAAATTTTGTTTAATATTTTGCTATGTATTCTTGAAAATAAAAAAAATTTAAAAAATTTAAAAAAATAAAAACCGGCTCGGGCTTAGGTCGGGCCAACTGGGTCCGAGCCCAAGTTTTGCCTGGCCCGTTTGGACAGGCCTAATAATGAATTTTCTATTTATTTCTTGACACTTGGATAAGAATACCTATCAATAAAAGGACTAAGGACCTATTCGGTTCAGCCTATATTACCGGAATCTAAGTTTTTAGGAACAAAAAGTTGGTTTTGGCCCATTATCAGATTCCTTAAGTGGTGTTTGTTTCACATAAATATTTAAGAATAGGTTTCCATGAAAGAGAGAAAAGAGCCTATTTTATGGATTTACCAAATCCTCTTTCTTAAGATGGATTTGGGCAATAAAATCTAATGATCCAATCCACATCATCTATTCCCTCTCTCTCCTTTTGTCTATCACGTAAAATTCAGAAAGTTGCCCATTTAGGATCCCCGCCTCCTCTCCTCATTTCCCTCCTCAATTCCATGCCTCTTCATCGTAAAACCCTAGCTAATCTCTACTCAAATTAGTTACAAATCATTCTAAACTGGTTGACTAAAGCCTTGATGCCCCTTGGTCTCTTAGCTGCTGATCTTAAAATGAAATTCTTGATTTTTGAGGTTTTTAAGGACTAATCTGACTTTTGGGGTTCTAATGCATGTATTCATCTTCTTCAAAGTGTTCTTCTCTAATTTGGTTATAGTCGACATTTCATCTATCTTCTCTTCTTTGAATCTAATGACTTGATCTCTTGGCTAGCAATTCATACTACAAAATTCCTCTTCTATGCCTTGAGATTTATTCCATAACAAAGCAAAGGTATAATATCTCCCTACTTTGTAAAATTTTCTTTTTCTTGATTTTTTTCTGTTAAAATTAGGATTTCCAATAGTTGTTTTAAAAAAATAAGATTTGATTTCTTGCAATGGATTTCATTTCCTATATTTTTAGGAAATGAAATGAACAACTCTAAATCAATAGGAACTTTAGGAGAGTTGGTAAATCATATTTCTTGTCACAAAGAGGCCTTATGTTCAACGCATGTCTCTAACCTCTCTAGGGAAAAGAATTTTAAGGTCAATTAATCCTATCCGTAAACTCAAAAAGACAAGAAACATAAATCATTATCTAATGAATACCTATAATATGAGATGTCTAACTGCTTGGTTGGGCCAAAAAAGTAGGAAAACATGTGCATCTATAGGGGAAAAAACAAAAAGTGGGTTGTTGAGCATTATAGGATACATATACCCGGTTTTCTAGAAAATGTCAAATCCATGTTTTGGGAGAGGACTTGGGCTAAAAAGCTTAGACATTAAAACGCCACCTCTACATTCCCCGAGTTTTGCTTTCTTATTTTTTTGGGTTTGAAACAAACAAGATATTACATTTCCTTTTTTTTCTTTCCTAAAATCATGGTCAACCAAACACAAATTAACATTTCTGGGAAATGCATGGAAAACATTGAATATGATTTCTTTCCAAGGAATTCCAGTTTCTATATTTTTAGGAAATAAATGAAACGAACCACAAAAGAATGAAATAGTAGGTGACAATTTAACAGCCATAGTAGCAAGGCAAGGCAGGCCCTAACAAACCAACTTTTTTCCCGTAGCAGCTTGGTACCAAGTACACAAAGGGTAGACTTAGTGTTGAGACTTGAGAATCAACCTTGAATAATTCTTTGATCGACC